GCGCCTTTTTTCGTGGCTTGCGCAGCCTTAAGTTGAGTCCTATGCTTGCGTGGGGATTGCGACAGGAAATCCTAGGGCCATGGGGTTGAGGGGTTTGGGGGATTAGGGGGTTGTAGGAGTTGTGGGGTTCTAGGGGTTTAGGGGTTTAGGGTTCGGGGGGTGTAGGTGTTTAGGGCTTATTGGGGTTTAGGCGAGGGGTTTGGGGTAGGGTCCCGCAAACCTGGCCCTCCACAGAATCTACAAGAAGGCCTGGAGAAGTACGGAATATGCGGACTTAGTGAGGGCCCCCTATGAGGACTCAGGACCCCTTATAAGAGGACTTAGGGCCCCCCATGTGCAGCAGTGAAAGGAACATGGACCGTTTGCAAGAGGGGCTGCAGGGGCTTGGAGTGCACATTGGTGACATCGTGGCAACCTCAGGGATTCTCTGTAGTTTGGGAATCTACTAGCCCTGAAAACCCTAAACTCTACTTAAGCCATGAACCCTAACCCCCCCCCCCCCCCCATTTTGGGATTTTGGGAGGTGAAATGCAAGTGGCAGCTCAGAGCGGCCTGGCTGGCGCAGGCCACCCTCACATTTGAGGGTTTAGGGTTTAGGGTTCGTGTCGATGTAGGGTTCAGGGTTCCGGAAATGAAGGCATGACGCACTACAAAGCATGGTTGTAGGACAGGGGTTTGGGTCACGGAAACGAAGGTAAGGCACTCTACGTCTTACAACCCTGGTTACGATCTTCACGATCGCCTGAAAGGGAGCAAAAATCGCCTCCACCCCGTCAACCCCCGAACCCTAGACCTTAAACCCCGTATGCACCCTGAGCCCCAAACCCTAAACCCTGAATTCCGTAGCCCCAAACCCTAAATCCTAAACTCCGTAGCCCTTAACCCAAAATCCGAAATTCCGCAGCCCTAAATCCTAAACCTTAAATTCCGTAGCCCTTATAAACCCAAAACGGCACATTCCACAGCCATTTTGGCACAAGACTTTGGCTCGAGATGCCGGTTCGGCAGTTCGGCAGCCCGAGGTTGAAGCACTCTGGCTCAACTGCAGTCATAGCGGCTGTCGGTTTCGAGGGTTCCCCTTTGCCCTGCGGTCTTCCTTCCCCTGCCCTCTTCTTCTGGGTGTTCGGGGTTCTTTCGGGGCGCTGTTGTTTTGTTGGGGGGTTTTGGGTTCTTCTTGGAGTTGCCGCTATCATGAGCCATGGATACGCTGCGTTTTTCAGTCTTATGTGGCTGTGAAGGGCTATGAATGTGGATGATTACTTGCGTGAAGTGGCCACCACAAGTACTCGTGATGTGACTGGAGAGGCTCAACTCTGCACGCCCTGCATGGTTTGCAGTTGGAGTCCATGTTGCTGCTCTCTGCAATATCCAGAGATACCGGGAACACCCTGCGTGACCTGTGGCTGGTATCCATGTCGCTGTTTTTCGGGTGGGCCAGAGATGGAAAGCGTCAACATGATGTGGCAGAATTTGCAGCCTTTATCTTGGGCAAGGCCCGCGTGCCGGCATTGGATGGCTCTTGGCAGGCACAAGGCAGCGACGGAACTGTGCATGAGGTTTCTGATTTGACACAGCCTATTGTCTGCAGTTGCAGGATGGGGCAGCCAATCTTCAGGCCTGTGTTGATGCCTGGCACCAGCAATCGCTTGCACATGCCCTTGTTTCTGCTACTGACATGGTTTGTTTCCAAGTGGGGCGCTTTCGTTACCACGAACGTTTCAGAAAGCGGATGCAGTCTTTGCATCTCTGTCACGTGCGTATCCCACTCTTCAATGGACAGAATGCTTCAGTTCATTTTTGCAATTACCGAGTTGCTTCCCTGGTGATTCACTGTGGTGGCTCACCTCATGTAGGCCAGTACAGATCTGTGCTTCTTTCTGAGCGGGCAGTGTTTTTAGATACCTGGGGTAGTGAATCTAGCGTCTCTGAAGAGTTGCTTTGCGCGTCCGTTCTCACTGATGATGCTGTCAAAGCCAGTCCGATTCGTAAAGCTACTGTTCCCAGCACATACACAACAGTTGGTATCTTATCTTCTGTGTGCGTGCCTAGTTTTTGCTGTTTTCGGGCTGCTGTGTGGTTCGCCGCGGGGCTTCTTCTGCTGGCGCGTGCCCAGGGCCATGGAACAGCAGAGATGCAGCGGAAACTTCGAGAGTTTCTGAGGCCATCTTGCTCTTTCGTCCTTCTTGCTGTTCTTCTTCTCCTATGAAATATTCTTCCACTTCTGCAACACTGAGAACGCCGCCAAAGCAAGAATCTCTAGTTCTTTTTCACCTTCCTCGAGGTCAAAGACTTCAGGGTAGTTCTCAGCCTCCTTTCAAACATGGCTGTAGCACGGGCGGTAGCTGCTGTGGCTCGGATGCTGTGCTCTGCGTTCTTACGCTCTCGGAATCATGGCGAACTGCCCCATTTGCATGTCTCTTGTCTTCCCTGGATCCACCTTTTCGTATGTTCAATGCCTGCGGTGCGCTGCCACACTGGTTCCTTTGAAGCGGCGATGGAGGAGCCCGCTACCCCTCTTTGGCCCGTCCACTTGCTTTTTTGGCTGGCTGTGCACTGCGTGTCGCGAGGAGTTGGACCAAATGTTTCCAGGGCCTAAATACCGAGTTCTATGTTGGAACTGCCAACGTTGGGTGCGCATCTCTGTCTAGCTGTTTGCCGCGCTTGTTTATGCCGCTTTGCATTTCCAGGTGTATGCCATGTTGGACCGGAAACGTTTCTTGGTCTTCTGCGTGCCAAGAGTTGTTGCTTCATGGCGTTGTAGCATGCAGTTTGACAGGTTGGCATTGCCCCGGCCACCGATTTGGACACACCCATTGGCGTGGGTCGTGGCCACTGCACTTATCGCATTATTCATCCACGCTATCCCTGTGTTGTGAAAACTCAGGTTTGCTTTAGTAGATGTGCCCTCAAGCGGGCAAGGCAGGACGGATGGCAACACAAAGCGTGAAGGTCTTGGAGTAGTACGATGTTGTCCAGCTCATTTGCTAATACTCGTAGTTGCGATTGGGATTCTCGCTTGTACAGTCTTGTACGCGTCATTGTCTGTTCCATGTGGTTGTTCAATATCGTTCAGATGATTGCCGGACTTGGTGTGCGCTTTCTGACTTTCCTGCTTGAAGCGTGCTCAGCCGTGTCGCTGTGTGGCGTACGATGTGGCATACAAAGCCTGAAGGTCTAAGAATCATGCAGTGTCGTCCGCAGCTCATTTGCTCATAGTTGCGCTTGTGACTCTGGGACATACTCACCTGGACATGGGTGCTATGGTCAACAACAGAAGTGCAGGACACAAATACCGGGCTCACACTGAACTCACATGCTCAGATGAGCGCGGTGCCTCGCAGGATATCATTACATCGATCGCAACTGAATGACACCAAGTTGGTGCGTCGGACAGGAGGGTCAAGAAGGTCAAGAAGGGCAAGAAGGTCAAGAGCATCAAGAAGGTCAAGGCCGTCAAGAAGGTCAGGAGCGTCAAGAAGGTCAAAGGCATCAAGGGGCCGTCTTGACAAAGGATGGTCAACAGGGTCAAGAAGATCAAGAGCGTCAGGAAGTCAAGAGGGTCAAGAAGGTCAAGAGAGTCAAGAGGGTCAGGAGCGTGGAAAGCACCAAGAAGGACACGCGACTTACGGCCTCCCAGAGGCCGATACCGTCGTTCGTTCTGCTTGCCGCTCCCTCTTTCTCTTCTTCTTTCGATCTTCCTGACGTCTGAGTTGTTACTCGTTAATTCTGTTTGGGTCGCCCGCGTGTTCCTCTTGCGCTCTTGCCTTTTCTTTCGTGGGCGAGCCTCTGCCAGCCGTCGTGACCCACACCTCTCTTCTGGCGCCCACTATACCCTACAACCGAAACCCGAAAATCCTAAAAACCTAAAGCCCCAAAACCCTGTAACCTAAAAAACCCTAAAGCCCTAGAACCCTAGAACCCTAAACCCCCAAACCTTATCAACCCGATCCCCCCAAAACGGCCTCCCGGCCCAAAAAGCCCCTGAGCCGAAGACGGCTCCAGGAGCTGCTGTCGACCTTCGAGCAGGACGACCTCCTGACGGAGGTCCTCCAGGGCTTGGTTTAGAGCCTAAGGGTTGAAGGGTTGAAGGGTTAAGTTTTAAGGGTTTAGGGTTTAGGGTGTAGTGGTTTAAGGGTTTAAGGGTTTAAGCGTTGAAGGGTTTAGGGTTTAGGGTTTCGGTTTAAGGGTTTTTGAGTGTCTACGGGTCTAAGGGTTTCCGGGTGTTCAAGGATAAGGGACTAATTAGGGTGTAAGGGTCTATAAGGGTTTAAGGGTTTAAGGGTTTAAGGGTTTAAGGGTTTAAGGGTTTAAGGGTCGAAGGGTTTATAAGGGTTTTTGGGTTCGAGGGGTTAAGGGTTTAGGATTTATGATTGAAGGGTTACAGTTTTTAAACCCTAACCCTTAAACACCTCGAACCCAATCCCTAACAAAACCCTAACCCCTGCCAGTCCTGAACCCTAAATCCTAAATTGTAAACCCTAAATTCTAAAGCTCAACCCTCAACCCTCAAACCTCAACCCTCAACCCGCAACCCTCAACCCTCAACCCGCAACCCCCAACCCTCAACCCTCAACCCTGAACCCTAAACCCCTTCCCAGGTGGCCTTGGTTCCGAGCCTCAAGGTCTCAGGGGTCTTTGAAGTGACTTGCGACGGTCGCACGGCACCTGGGGTGGCAAGCTGTCGGTCGGAGGGTTTAGGCTTAGGGGTTTAGGGTTGTTTAGGGTTGTTTAGGGTTGTTTAGGGTTGTTTAGGGTTGTTTAGCGTTGTTTAGGGTTTAGGGTTTAGGGTTCAGGGTGGAGGGTTTAGGGTTTAGGGTTTAGGGTTTAGGGTTTAGGGTTTAGAGCTTGGGGGAGTCAAGGATTTAGGGGGGGGGGGGAGGGCTCATGGGATTGGTTGCGCTTGAATGGGCTTTGGGGCTTGTTGCTTGGACCCTTTCCTGCCATACCAACATCAAGCGAGCCAGATAGCAACAGGAGCATTGCCTTGACACTGGTGGGTGATGTGCTTGATGTACTGGCCGCGCCGAAGCATTTTTGATCGAGGGCCCGTAGCGAGGATGGAGTGCGAAGTTTGTGTTGTAGGCTTAGGCGTGTCGTCGTTGCCTCTGTTGAAGCTGCTGCAGCAGTCGGGCACCGACTTCCGCGTCGTCAGCAGTACTGCATTTGGCATTTGGGACAAGCTGACGGCCGCGGGTGAGAATTTTGACTTGGTGACCACAATCGAGTCCACGAACTATAGCTGGTGGGACTATGACTACGACTTTCCCTTCTACACGGCCAAGTCATATCACGAGAAATTGCGGGCTGAATTAACCCCTGAACTGCTGGATCGGCTGATTCGCAAAGACGCGTCTTGGCCTTGTTGTTGGAGGTTTTGTTTTTTGTTGAGGTGGTTTCGAACGGAGTGGAGTAGGAGTTTGGGGGGTTCAGGGCAAGGAGTCAGGGATGACATTCCCGACGCCGAAGCTCCTCGGTTTAGGGCCCCAGGTGTAGAGTGTCCAGCGTTTCGCACAAGGATCCACACGCTCCCAAAGCCCAAACCCTTCACCTTTTGTGCCCCTACACCCTAACCTTAAACCCTAAACCCTAAACCCTAAACCCTCAACCCTAAACCCTAAACCCTAAACCCTAAACCCTAAACCCTGAACCCTGAACCCTAAACCCTAAACCCCAAACCCTAAACCCTGCGCCCTTACTTACCCTAAAAAACGCTAAACCCTAAACCCGAAACCCGGAACCCGAAACCCGAGACCCTAAACCCTAAACTCTAAACCTTAAACCCTGACCTAAACCCTAAACCCGAAACCCTGAACCCCCCGACGACGAAAGCGTTGCACGCATGCCGAGGTGACCTCGGTGGCAGAAGTAGGAGGTGCCTGCGCTGCACCAAAGTAGCCCTCCCTTGTTGCAGGATCCTTGAGTAGGGTTTAGGATTTAGGGTTAGTGGCAATCATCCCCCTTTTTCGTGCATGAACCCGAAACCCTGACAAAGCACTGGCGAAAGTAGTTCGACATCAGCCCTCAACCCTTAACCCTAAACCTTAAACCCTAAACCCCTAAACCCCTAAACCCTAAACCCTAAACCCTAAACCCTAAACCCTAAACCCTAAACCCTAAACCCTAAACCCTAAACCCAAAAGCCGCGAGAAGGCGCCGAAGTCCCCCTTCAACCCATCATGGTATAGCGTGTCGAGGCCGCTACCAGGTCTGGAGCGGGGAGGAGCTGCTTGTAACTACAGCTTCCTTAAGGACATGTTTTCTATGAGTGTCTGTTTTCTCGAAAAGCACAAAGGAGTCGTAGAACAATGTGTTTAGGGTTTAGCATTTGGGGTTTAGTGTTTAGGGTTTGGGGCTGGGGTTTAGTGTGTACTTAACCCAAGGGGATGTGAAATTCATGGTTGTTTCTCTGGTCCTAAGCGGGGTAGAGGTAACTTGCTCCAAGCTGGTGCACGCCATTGGCTTCGCGCCGGATGGCAATATCTTCTCGAACCTGCCGCTCGCGTGCTTTCTAAGGTTTGGGGCTTAGGGTGCTTTCTAAGAAGGAGATTTCCATTCTGGGATGGTTCAGGATCTTTTGGGTTTTTGGGTTTAGGGTTTAGGGTTTACAGGGAGTTCATAGGGTGTAGAGGGCTTGGGGTTCAGGGGGTTTATAGAACTTCAGGCTTACGGAGGTTTGGTTTTTTGGGGTCAAGTTCTCGGGGTTTGTGGTTAGGGTTTAGGGTGTGGGGGAACCCTACAATAACCCTTAACCCTCAACCCTAAACCCTAAACAATAAACCCTTAACCCTAAACAATAAGAAACCTTAGCCCAGAGGTCCACCATCGCCAATGCTGGCCGGGAGGGAGGCAAACACTTCCTGATCTTTGGCCGCGCAGGTCGCAAATAGAAGTGCTTTGTTGAAGCTACATCCTAAACTCCAAGCCCCAAAACCCGAATCTGCATTAACCCCCGGACCCCATGGCTCAGAACGACCCTGGGCTCTGAATTGAGAAGCCAGAACCCCTGAACCCAAAATGCGACATCCTATAGACCTTGCCCTGAAAATCGGACATCAAGGCTTCAGCGACACGACGAACCTGTACATTTCCCGGCTGATCTATGCGGGGCATCGGGTCACCCTGGCCTGCAGACACTTCCATGTGGTGGACAAGACCCCCGGCGGTTAGGGTGTAGGGTTTAGGGTTTAGGGTTTAGGGTTTAGGGTTTAGGGTTTAGGGTTTAGGGTGTGTAGGGTTTAGGGTCTAGGGTTCCGGCGTCGGGGTTTTGGGTTTAGGGTTTAGGGTTTAGGGATGAATTTCGCCTTACTCGGTTCAAGAGGATCTTGTTTCGGAGTTTGTTGCCACCAAAATCTCAAGGGCCAGCTGGTAGAACGACCTCGCGAAAGGATCGGCATCACGCATGGCAACGTTGGCGGCCCTTTCGACCAGTATGAGCCGATGCAGCACTGGACAGGGAGCGGGACGGTGTCCCGCGGCTGCATGTTCGAACCCTAAACCCGAAAACCTAAACACTGAATCCTGAACCCTAAACTTCCTAAACCAAGAAGCCGGATGAACCCTTTGAAACATCCAGAGGTTTCTGCTTCAGCTCTCAAGACTTCGCGGGCATGCTTGGTCCGTAGAGACAGGGCGCTCGAAGAACTTCCCATTGTTCGGAAATGCTTCCACGAATGTTTGCGAGTAGGTTTCTCCTTTTCACCCCAACCTTAAACCCTAAACCCTAAACCCTAAACCCCAAACCCCAAGATCCTTGAACCGTTAGCGGCGCTCTATTCCACATTCTTGGTTTTTCCTTTTTGGTGAGTTTGAAGTTCCCTTCCAAGTCCCCCCACAAGTACGCCCCGAACAAATGGTAAACCCTTAGCCCTAAACCCTAAGCTCTAAAGCCCCAAAGCCCGAAAGCCCTAAAGCACTAATCCCCTAAACCCTAAACCCTAAACCCTAAACCCTAAACCCTAAACCCTAAACCCTAAACCCTAAACCCTAAACCCTAAACCCTAAACCCTAAACCCTAAACCTTAATGCCCCCCTTTTTTGGGGGGGCCTAGGAAGCTTCGGAGGTAAGGGGATCCCAAGCCCTGAGCTGGCGAGGCCCAACGTCACCGGCATACTGGTCCCGCTGCCCATCAAGGGCGCGAGGTGCGAAGCCCAAACCCGGGGTTTAGGGTTTAGGGTTTAGGGTTTAGGGTTTAGGGTTTAGGGTTTAGGGTTTAGGGTTTAGGGTTTAGGGTTTAGGGTTCAAATCCGGAGCCCGATGAGCCCATTTGTCAAATAATTCGACTTGTATGGTTCGGCGATGTTGTAAAGCTACAACATTCCTTAGTATCTTAAAAGTTTCGTTCCATTCAGGAAACTCATCTTATTTTATGCATTTTGTTCCTTCCTTTTTGGTTAATTCTTCTTCTTACCAACTCGTAACAGTACAACAGCAGAACCCCTAAACCCTAAACCCTAAACCCGAAACCCTATAAGCCCTAAACCCTAAACCCTAAACCCCAAACCCTAAACCCTAAACCCGCAAACCCTCTGCCAGGGTGGGCAGCCCCATGTGGGTGGCGGGGCAGATCACCTCCTACGTTGCCGAGCTGGTCGGCTTGCAGGCGCGCCCCCTTATGTTTAGGGTTTAGGGTTTAGGGTTTAGGGTATAGGGTTTAGGGTTTAGGGTTTAGGGTCCAAGGGTTTGCAAAGTCAGGGAAAGGGGACGGGGGGGCTCAGCCTCACACCCCGAACCCTAGAAGCCCTATAAACACTAAGCCCTCTAAGCCCTCTTGAGAAATCCTATAAGCCCTAACCCCAGAAGCCCGAGAAGTTTGAAGCCCAACCCCAAGCCCTGATCGCGAGGACGTCGTCGACCTGCGGAAGTTCGACACCGACTACCAGACGGCAGGCTGGAGGATTTTTGGGGTTTAGGGTTGCTCTCGGCCATCAGGGAATTAGGTTTAGGGTCAAGAGTCCAGGGTAGCTTAATTAGGCCCTCAAGGGGATTTAAAGGATAGTTTAGGGTAGTGGCTAGTTTAGGGTTCAGAGTTCAGAGGATTCAGCGGAGAGTTTAGGTTTTGCGGTGGTTAGTTGTATGTTTTAGGGGGGTTAGCTTAGACAGCTTCAGGCTTGTGGGTGTGCAGAACCCCTCCCCGAGGGCCGAGCTTCAGATCTTAAACCCTGATTCCCCTCCGCGGCTCATTATGAGGCTTAGGGTTTAGTGTTTGCAGGGTTTAGGGTTCAGGTTTAGGGTTTTACAATGTTCAGGGCTTCGGGTTTGGGATTTGTAAGGTTTAGGGTTGACACTAACATGGAAAGATCGTACATGATATAGCTTCCTTATGACCGTATCCTGTAGAAAAGCCCTCGTCCAATGCCCTGACACATAGTGATGCCCAAATCGCCCGCAAACCCCATAAACCCCCAAACCCCAAAAAAAAATCTAAACTCCGAAACTCCCAAAGCCCCGAAACCCTAAACCCCTACACCTCCACCCCAAATCCCCAACCCCCTCAACCCTCAAAGCCCCGAACCCCCTAAACCCCTGAAGTCCCCAACCCACCAAACCTAAACCCCCCAAACCTGCCAAACCTCTAAGATGGTCCTTTGCCTTCTTTAGAGGAGGGTTTTGAAGTATGACCCGTTGCGCTTTGTAGGTGTAAGGAGTCCCATGTAAGGGCCCATACTAGGGGACCATGTAACTACCCTGCGAAAACCCAACCCCCCCAAACCAACCCCCAACCCCCCAAACCAAACCCCCTACCCCGTAAACCCCTCTAAACCCCTAAATCCTACACCCTGAACCCCTAACCCCCTCCTAAACTCCCCCGTCAAGCCGCCAAGAGCACGCCAACTTCAGGACGCGGCCTGGTCACCCCCGCCAAGGTCGACGTCCCTGGCGGCCTCGGTCCCTTGGTCCTAAACAAAAGGGCTCTTCGGGTTTAGGGTTTAGGGTTTAGGGTTTAGGGTTTAGGGTTTAGGGTTTAGGGTTTAGGGTTTAGGGTTTAGGGTTTAGGGCTTACAGATTTGAAAGGGGCCTAGGGGTTTTCAACAGGGTTTGGGTGTAGGATTTTTGGGTTGGGGGTTTACAGGGTTTTTGGAGGGCTTCCGGGTTCAGGGTCTATAGGGTTTAGCTTTGGGTTTTTAGGGGTAGAGGCGGGTTCTTCGTGGCTTTCGGGTGCAATTGATTGGGGATTAGGGGCTTGGAGTTTTCGAGGTTTAAGGTTGTGTTGGGGAGGCGTAGGGGCTGGGATGCTTAGGTTCGTGGACACCAAAATCAGGTCGGTGTGGGCTTGTAGGGGTCGTAAACCCGAAACCCATAAACATTCGGAAAGACTAGGCGTCCTTTTCCTGGCATCCGCGCCAGAGGATACTTGGTGAAACAGTGGCCGGTGGATGAGTATGTGCGTTTCTACAGCGACGACAGGCGGGCTCAAGATCTCCGGGATGGGGAGGATGCGGGGGCCCGAAGTCCTGAGCCCTGTAAGCCCTAAGTTCTAAACAAAGCCGACACCCTGGACTCTTTCAGCCCCCTTTTTGAAGCTCCTAGAGCTGGTTGGGTTTAGGGTCTAGGGGGTAGGGGTTCGACATGGCTGAGCGCAAGATGAACCCTAAACCCTAAACCCTAAACCCTAAACCCTAAACCCTAAACCCTAAACCCTAAACCCTAAACCCTAAACCCTAAACCCTAAACCCTAAACCCTAAACCCTAAACCCTAAACCCTAAACCCAAAAAAAAAATAAACTGCGAGCAAGGCCCCTGATTAGCTGCCGGCAAGGCAGGGGGCCGCAGCGAGCCCGCCGAGCCTCTAGCGACGGCAGCCGACAACTGAGTAGCGACAGTCTAGCAGTTGGAGGCAGATGCTCTCTTTAGTGCCAGAAGAGTTAGCTTCTGGCACCGTAACGCACTCCTCACAGCTTTGAAAGAGGGAACAGGGCGTACAGCCCTAAAGCATATTTTATTACCCTAAAGCCTAGACCCCCGTCCTTCCAATTTAAAAATTAGGATTTAGGATTTAGGATTTAGGATTTAGGATTTAGGAATGAGGAATTAGGATTTAGGATTTAGGATTCAGGATTAGGATTTAGGATTTAGGATTTAGGATTTAGGATTTAGGAATTAGGAATTAGGATTTAGGATTTAGGATTTAGGATTTAGGATTTAGGATTAGGATTTAGGATTTAGGATTTAGGATTTAGGATTTAGGATTTAGGATTCAGGGGCCTCTCTGGGGAGGCCCGGCTTCGTAATTTAGTATTCGGGCGAGGCCCGGCTTCGTAATTTAGTATTCCGGGGAGGCCCGGCTTCGTAATTTAGTATTCCGGGGAGGCCCGGCTTCGTAATTTAGTATTCCGGGGAGGCCCGGCTTCGTAATTTCGTATTCCGGGGAGGCCCGGCTTCGTAATTTAGTATTCCGGGGAGGCCCGGCTTCGTAATTTAGTATTCCGGGGAGGCCCGGCTTCGTAATTTAGTATTCCGGGGAGGCCCGGCTTCGTAATTTAGTATTCCGGGGAGGCCCGGCTTCGTAATTTAGTATTCCGGGAAGGCCCGGCTTCGTAATTTAGTATTCCGGGGAAGCCCGGCTTCGTAATTTAGTATTCCGGGGAGGCCCGGCTTCGTAATTTAGTATTCCGGGGAGGCCCGGCTTCGTAATTTAGTATTCCGAGGAGGCCCGGCTTCGTAATTTAGTATTGCGGGGAGGCCCGGCTTCGTAATTTAGTATTCCGGGGAGGCCCGGCTTCGTAATTTAGTATTCCGGGGAGGCCCGGCTTCGTAATTTAGTATTCCGGGGAGGCCCGGGGACTTGCTTCCTCTTGGCTGGGAGGGGCCGTTTTGGTCAAAAATCCAGAAAACGAGAACCCACCCGGGACCGTCGATTTCAGTACTAAAAAATCACATTTTAAATAGGGCCGATCCTGGGGTCCGCCTCATTTGGGGTGTTTTTGGAGGCAAACTTTCCCTCTCAAAGGGGGCCGGAGTTTGAGGCAAGGGAGGGTCTCCGAAGACTATTTTGCCTTTAAAATTGAAAAATACGACCCCCCCTTGACCAAAACTAGGCTGTGAAAAGGTCGCGGGGGCGGCCCTTCATCATAATTGAGGGTTACAGACCCTGAAACACCCTGAAAAACATTTAAAAACCATAAAAAAAATCTGAAAAACGCTGAAAAACCTTGAAAAACCTTGAAAAACTTGAAATCCTGAAACCGGTGAGGGCTCGGTTTTGGTCAAAATCCAGAAAACGAGAGGCCACCCAGAGGCGTCGATTTCAGTACTAAAAAATCGCATTTTTAACTGGGACCCGGGCCGATCCTGGGGTCCCCCTCATTTGGGGTGTTTTTGGAGGCAAACTTTCCCTCTCAAGGGGGGGTCGGAGTTTGAGGCAAGGGGGGGTCTCAGAAGACTATTTTGCCTTTAAAATTGAAAAATACGACCCCCCCTTGACCAAAACTAGGCTGTGAAAAGGTCGCGGGGGCGGCCCTTCATCATAATTGAGGGTTACCTCTTGTCTAAACGTTCTTGTACACAGCGGCGCCACAGAGCGCAGCGACAGCGAGCGATGGTGCCATGCTCCGAGCGCGATTTTGGGACCCACGTCCTGGCCCGTTCTGGCCTGTTCGGGCGGCTCCTCCCGGACAGTTTCTGGGCTTTTTGGGCTCCTCGCGCACAGTTTCTAAGCCTTTTTCCCGGAGAGTTTCCGAGCCTTCAGCGGCGTTACAGAGCGCAGCGACAGCGAGCGATGGTGCCGCGGCCCCGAGCGCGATTTTGGGACCCTCCGTCTTGGCCTGTTCTGGCCTGTGGAGGCCCGGCCTCGTAATTTAACATTCCGGGAGGCCCGGGGTGCCCAAAACCATCGATTTCAGTACTAAAAAATCGCACTTTCATTGCGGGCCAGGGCAGATCCTGGGGCCCCCTCTTGTTGAGGGTTTTTGAAGCTTTTTCAAGCCTTTTCAAGGCTTTTTTTGGTGCCTCTAAACGTTCTTGTACACAGCGGCGCCACAGAGCGCAGCGACAGCGAGCGATGGCGCCGCGGCCCCGAGCGCGATTTTGGGGCCCGCGTCCTGGCCTGTTCTGGCCTGTTCGGGCGTCAAGACACAACATAAAAAAACATACTGCTGCCCTCTGCTTTACTTGTCCTTTTGATTTATATTCAAATTGCTGTATATTATTAAAAAATATCAATTACAGGAGAGAATACAAAGCAACGAGCGAACTATCCCAAAAAATAAACCCAAAACCCTAATAGAGTAAGGTTTGGGTGGTCTTGGGGTGGGTTTTTAGCTTTCGTGCGACGCGCCGCCCACGACCCCTTGGGTCGAGGCGCGTCGCTTCAGTCAGCAAACCCTAAACCCTAAACCCTAAACCCTAAACCCTAAACCCTAAACCCTAAACCCTAAACCCTAAACCCTAAACCCTAAACCCTAAACCCTAAACCCTAAACCCTAAACCCTAAACCCTACCCTAAACCCTAAACCCTAAACCCTAAACCCTAAACCCTAAACCCTACACCCTAAACCCTAAACCCTACACCCTAAACCCTAAACCCTACACCCTAAACCCTAAACCCTAAGCCCTAAACCCTAAACCCTAAACCCCAAACCCTAAACCCTAAACCCTACACCCTACACCCTACACCCTAAACCCTAAACCCTAAACCCTAAACCCTAACCCTCCATGTTGCAGCCTGGTAGGTACCGAGACTGGATGCTGAAGGAGGGCGTTTACCTCAACGACATCTACTTCTTCATCCAGCAGGGTCTGGACCCCTGGGCAGGATTGGCAGTTGTAGGGGGTTTAGGGTTTAGGGCTTAGGGCCCTTTAGGGTTTAGGGTTTAGGGTTTAGGGTTTAGGGTTTAGGGTTTAGGGTTTAAGGTTTAGGGTTTAGGGTTTAGGGTTTAGGGTTTAGGGTTTAGGGTTTAGGGTTTAGGGTTTAGGGTTTAGGGTAGTTGTAGGGGGTTTAGAAGTCACGTGGCTCGGGTGGCTGCTTAGTTCTTTTTCCAGGCTTAGCCAAGCAAACCCTGAACGCTAAACCCTCAAACCGAAACGATCACAATAATTTGCGAGCCCCCCCCCCCCCCCCCAAAAAAAAAAAAAAAAAAAACCAAAAAAACCAAAAACCCAAAAAAAAACAAAAGTCATTGGAGCTCTCCCTCGTCAAAGGTAAAGCTGCACTCACGCAGGGAGGTGGAGCACATTTCAGGCAGGCGCTATCGCTTGCAAGGGGAGGAGGCCGGGAGAACTGGATCGCGGGTGCATGATCCTTGAATACAGCCCAGACCCGTGAGCCACGCCTCAGCGCGAAATCCCCTAAACTTGAAGCCTAAACCCTAAGCCCTTGAACGCAGAACCTAAGGCCAAACCCTAAACCCTAAACCCTAAACCCTAAACCCTAAACCCTAAACCCTAAACCCTAAACCCGAAGCTGGGAGGTGGAGTTCGACGAGGTGCTCAAGTGCGAGGAGGCGAGGCACAAGACCTTGCAGATGCCTCGCGGCTGCAACAAGCTAGAGGGAGCTCTTTAAATGGGCTCTCGGGTTTAGGGTTTAGGGTTTAGGGTTTAGGGTTTAGGGTTTAGGGTTTAGGGAGTTTAAAGGGTTTGCCGGAGTGTGTAGGGTCTAATTAGAGGAATTTAGTAGGAGTGTATGGGATTTAAACCGCTTACAAGGATGTTTAGGGGTTTACGGGGTTTATGGGGTTCATCGGGTCTGCTTATTTATAGAGCTCATGGGGTTGATGGGTGTTATAGGGTTATAGGATGTATAGGGTTTCTGGGTTCCAGGTTTTACAGAGTTCGGGTTTAGCCTTACCCTGCAACAATTATTCGCAACCCTGCTCTCAGTGTGTGGTTGCCTTTTGAGCGAAGATTTTGAGGCCATTCTGCCCTCGCTACTCCTACACAGACCACCTGTACGGAATCTGGAACAGGACATGGGTGGGGGCGTCGGGTTTGGGGTGGGAGCGTTGACAGAAGCTTGAGGGTCAAAACCCTAACCCCAACACCCTAAACAGACAAGTGAGGTTTAAGGGGTGTGGGGTCTGGAGGGGACTTGAGGTTTTGCAGGAGGTTAAATATGGGGCCTTGTATTCTTTAATTCTTTAATGTAGGGGGCCTTATTCCCGACAAAGAAACCACAAAGGAATGCTATTAGTAGTTATTCCGACCCCTACATTCGGCCCTGCGGCGCCTTGACCCAAGAAGCTCCCGTTCCCCACTCCAACAGGACCCAACCGAACCCTAAACCCTAAACCCTAAACCCTAAACCCTAAACCCTAAACCCTAAACCCTAAACCCTAAACCCTAAACCCTAAACCCTAAACCCTAAACCCTAAACCCTAAACCCTAAACCCTAAACCCTAAACCTGCAGCAGGACCCATCCGAATCTGTATTTTTTGGGGACTACGCGGCCCTACACGGGAGCCTTCGGCTGTGTTGCGGAGGCGCCATGGCCGCAGCGTTGGCTTTACAGCAGCGAAGGGTTTAGGGTTTAGGGTTTGGGGTTTAGGGTTTCGGGTTTCGGGTTTATGTTTAGGGTTCCGGGTTTCGGGTTTCGGGTTTCAGGTTTAGGCCCTACCTTGAGAGTTTTAGGGGCCCCTTGCAGCCCCACACCTCTAAGCGCCAAACCTCTGTGGTTCATGGGTTTGTGGTTTAGGGGTTTAGGGTTAGGCTGTAGCGTTCAGGATTTTTCAGTCTGGTCCATTGGTTCATTGTGGGTTTAGAGTTTAATCAGGGTTCAAGGTTTGGGGTAATGGTAGGTTTACGGTTTCCCCTCTCCCCCCTGTGGTTCGTGCTGAGTTTACGGTTCAGGGTTCAGGGATAAAGCGGCTAAGGTTTCGGGTTTACCCTTCTCCCTCCTGTCGTTCATTGGTGGGTTTAGGTTTTAGGGCTTAGGGTTCAGGGTGTGGGGTTTAGGCTGAGGTTTCTCTGTCCTCCCCCGTGGTCCATGGTGGTGTTTTTAGGGTTAACAGGCAGGGTTGGGGGGGGATGCCATGGGGGGGGGGGGGATACCATTTTTTTTGGGGGGGGGGGCGGGGGGGGGCGATTACGCGGAACGCGAGCGCATATAGGGGTTTATAGGGTATGTGGTGTTTATAGGGTTTATGAGGTTTATGGGGTTCATAATTGTTGCTGGGGTTATCGGGCTTATGAGGTCAACGCCATGTTCGTCCATCGCATGATCACCGACGGTGGCTTTCACTGCAGCATGGGGCAGCAGTTTCCTGGGCTCATGCATAGCCAGCGGGTGTGCCTTTGCTGCCGTGGGAAGTGCTTCAACCCTCTCAACCCTAAACTCTACACAACCCCTAAACCCTATAAACCTGACTATAATCCCTATCAACCCCAGCAACCGCATGAAGCCCAAACCCCGAAACCCCACAGGCTTTGAGATTCAGAATTTCAGTTCAAGGCCTCAAAATATAGTCCCCCCCCAACCTAAACCCGAAACCCGAAACCCGAAACCCTAAACCCTAAACCGTGATCCCCTGTCCCCAAGGAGCCACTACGTCCAAGCCAGTGATCCGGATAAGATGCACGTCCACTGGGCCGGGATGCATCCTGTCAGCCGTTTCGTTTACGAATTTAGGGGTTTAGGGTTTGGGGTTTAGGGGTTTAGGGGTTTAGGGGTTTAGGGGTTTAGGGGTTTAGGGGTTTAGGGGTTTAGGGGTTTAGGGGTTTAGGGGTTTAGGGGTTTAGGGGTTTAGGGGTTTAGGTGTTTAGGGGTTTAGGGGTTTAGGGGTTTAGGGGTTTAGGGGTTTAGGGGTTTAGGGGTTTAGGGGTTTAGTGGTGTAGGGTTTTTAGGTGTTGTTAGGGGTTTAGGGGTTTGGGGTTTAAGGGGTTTAGGGGTTTAGGGGTTTAGGGTTTAGGGGTTTGTTAGGGTATCGGGGTTTTAGGGTTTAGGGTTTAGGGGTTTTGGGGTTTAGGGGTTTAGGGGTTTTGGGGTTCAGGGGTTTAGGGGTTGAGGGGTTTAGGGGTTTGGGGGTTTAGGGTTTACGGTTTAGGGTCGAGGGGTTTAGGGTTTAGGGGTTTGGGGGTTTACAGGGTTTTGGGGGTTTAGGGCGTAGGGGGGTTTAGGGGTCTTGGGGTTCAGGGGTGTAAGGGTTTAGGGTTTAGGGGTTTAGGGGTTCAAATGGGGTTTAGGGTTCAGGGGGTTTTAGGTTTAGGGTTTTAGGAACGAGCGCGTCAGAGGACGTGCAAGAACCAAACTGGCCATTGGTCGTCATGGATCCACGGAAAATGCTGCCCATCTCAGTGTCGAAGAGCTCCTTCTATCGAACAGCCCACGGCCCGTGATTTAGGCTTAGGAAACCCTAAACCCTAAACCCTAAACCCTAAACCCTAAACCCTATATAGGTTCTAGGAGCTGTTAGGGATCATCGAGCCTAGGTCGTCTCAGCTTCTTTACATACGGTTCGGGGCTGAAAGCCTCGCCACAACCCCCGAAACCCCCTAAGACCGAAGCCCTAAGCCCGAAGCCCAACCCTAAGCCCTAAAAACCCTAAACCCTAAACCCTAAACCCTAAGCCCTAAACCCTAAACCCTAAACCCTAAGCCCTAAGCCCTAAACCCTAAACCCTAAACCCTAAACCCTAAACCCTAAACCCCCCCTATAAGAGCCCTTTGTCCTGCGAGGCACTGCCTCTGGATCTCCCGTGCTGTGGGCTGCGACGTCAGCTTCGCAGAAGCTGCAAAGCGCGGCTTGCTGCTGGACCCTGCCTCGAGGGTTTAGGGTTTAGGTTTTTTTTTTTTTTTCCGGTTTAGGGTTTAGGGTTTAGGGTTTAGGGTTTAGGGTTTAGGGTTTAGGGTTTAGGGTTTAGGGTTTAGGGTTTAGGGTTTAGGGTTTAGGCTTCCAGGGGCTCGGGTTTAGGGTGTAGGGGCTTTGGGTGTAGGATTCAGGGCTCGTGAGCCCTCGGGGTTGGTTTTCTTGGCTCTTGTCAGATCTAGAGCCTTGGGTTCTGGAGGATTAGGGACATCGGGATTGTGGCCCCATCACCCCCCCTATAAACCCTCAAAAGATACAAACCCTACAAACCTTACACAGCCCTGTCAGACCCCCTACAAAACCCTGTTAAACCCTCTAAGCTCCAAAAGCCCTAAGGGTCGGACGTTTTGGCGGGGAAGGGGGAGGTAGAAGCCCTTTCAAGGGCTGTAAAACCCTATGAAACCCCACAAAACCCTTTACAAACCCTACAAAAACCCCTAAACTCTAAAAATGTCGGGGGGAACCCTAAACCCTAAACCCTAAACCCTAAACCCTAAACCCTAAACCCTAAATCCTAAACCCTAAACCCTAAACCCTGAACCCTAAACCATAGCGGGGGTGAAGGAGTGGATGACGGGGCCCGTGAATGCGCTGCGCTGCCGCATCTCCGGTCCCTACGCCGCGGCCGGCGCCGCGGAGAAGTACAAGGCTAAACCATGCTACACCCTAAACCCTAAACCCTAAACCCTAAACCCTAAACCCTAAACCCTAAACCCCACACCGTGAATCCTAAGCCTTAAGCTCTAAACCCTATACCCTAGAAACCCTATAAACCCTGTGACGCCATCAAGCCGATAAATCCTACTGCCTGAAAGCCGCTGAGGATGGAAGGCGCACTGAAGCTTACAACCCTCTAGCTCTATGACTCGTTACCCTCTTGGCCCTGTACGATGATTCCTCTAAATTGTTGTCCCTTTTGGGGTCCTTTTGGGGGTTACTATGATACGGCGGCCCCTAATATGTAGGGTACCCAAAAAGAGATCTGAGCATTTGTTCGCCAAGAAATGCAGTGCTGAGGTCGTACAAGCTGCTTCCGAATCGGCTCTCCTTGGGGACGAAATGAACCCAAAAAGGGTTTATGGCTCACATACCTTAGTAGGAATTTTCGCAGCCAGACTACATGACCCCAGTTTTAGGGTTCATTTCGTCCCCAAGGCTTTGTGATGGTTGAGACGCCCCCCCAAGTTTCAGCTTCCTCCACGTTCCCCCCAAACCCTACAGCCTGGATGTCCTCACAAGCCGCAGTGTGCATTGCCCCCCCCTAAACCCTTAAACCCTAAACCCTAAACCCTAAACCCTAAACCCTAAACCCTAAACCTTAAACCCTAAACAACCCCCTTGCGGCGTCAACCGCCGATGTTGCCAGCCGCAGTGAGAGCAACACAAATTATCAACGCACACTGTCTTGGGCACAGGCCTCCTGCAAGAAGATCGGGACGAACTACATGTACCTGGACGGGTATTGAGGTTTTCGGGGATCATACAGGCTGCAAGGTTCGAGCCGTCAAGACGTACTTTCTTGGCCTTTCGTGAGCTGACCAAAACACAAGAGCCACTTCATCTCAACCCCCCAAAACCCTAAACAGGCATCAGTCAACCGCTGAGTCCCAAAGTTGGCTGCTCAAGAGCTGAGGTTTCTGAACATGATCTACCGCAATTGGGGGGACCGGCTGGCCATTCGGCTTTGACTTCTTGGGGGGGTTTAGGGCTTGGGGCTTAGTTTTTGGGGTTCAAGAGCATCCCTGTCCTTGCTTCAAACAGGGTTTAGGGTTTAGGGTTTAGGGTTTAGGGTCCCTCCCCAGTTGCAGCGGAGATGGACACGGCAGCAGATGCCTGCATCTGACACTCAAAACCCAAAACCCAAAACCCTAAACCCCAAACCCAAATCCTGAACCCTGAACCCTCAACCCTGAAATCTAAACCCTAAACCCTAACCCTAAACCCTAAACCCTAAACCCTAAACCCTGAACCCTGAACCCTAAACCCTAAACCCTCTGTCCCTCAGGTGGTGGCCAGCTACTTCCTGTGCCTTCTGCATCACTGGGGCTTTCAGTGGAGGCTCCCCGCAGAAGGGTGCAGGCTGCGGCTCCTAGGTTAAGAGTTTAGGGTTTAAGGTATAAGGTTTAGGGTTTAGGGTTTAGGGTTAGGGTTTAGGGTTTAGGGTTTAGGGTTTAGGGTTTAGGGTTTAGGGCTCAATTAGGGTTTAGGGTTAGGGTTTCGCAAAGTTTGGGTCTTCAGGGGGGGTTCCGGGTATTGTTGACGTGTTGGGGTTGCGGTGTTTCGGTGGAGGCTACTGCGACTTAACTCCACAAACTTCGGGTTTAGGGTTTAGGGTTTCGGGTATCGGGTTTAGGTTTTAGGGTTCAGCCGAAATGTCAGACCCGAATTGACCTTAAAGATTGGTCTTCAGATCCGAAGCTGTTGCCCTAAACCCTAAACCCTAAACCCTAAGCCCTAAGCCCTAAACCCTAAACCCTAAACCCTAAACCCTAAACCCTAAACCCTAAACCCCTCCGCCCCTCTCGGGGCAAGCAGGCGCATGGCCGAAGTGGAGCGAGTCGTCTGTGACACGGCTTTCAGCTGGCTTTCCCGGGGGGGTTTTTGGGTCTTCTTGGCGGGGTTTATAGGGTTCATCGGGTTTATGGGCTTTATATAGGGTTTATAAGGTTTATAGGGTTGATAGGGTTCGTAGGGTTTATAGGGTTTGTAGGGTTTTTGGGTTTATGGGGTCGATGGGGCCGTTGGGGTGTTGAGACTGTAAGCGCATTCAAGGGTTTGGGGTTCAGGGTTTTAGGTTTGGGCTTTGAAGCTTTGGGTTTATAGAGGTTTGGGGTTGTTCAGGAGTAGGGGTTCGGGTCCGGCAAGAATTCCCGGGAAGATGTTGGTTCAGACATAGGACAGACCTCACATATTTTTCCCTAAGCCCCAAACCCGACATTCCCTAAGCCCGACTCTAAGCCCAAAACCACACCAGTTTTCCTCTTGGAAGCCCACGAGCCTTAAAAGTTTCTTGAAAAGCCCATGAAGCAGAAGATGTTTAGGGTTTAGGGTTCAGGGTTTAGGGTTTATGGTTTGGGGTTTAGGGTTTAGGGCTTAGGGTTTAGGGTCCCATTTGGAAATTCCTCGGTTTTTGAACCTGCCTGTGCAGGGTCTTAGCATACGGCCTTGAGCGCGTAGCGCCTGCACCCTACGGCCTAAGCCATAAACGCCCTAAGCCTGAAACCCCGAAGCTCGTTTACCCTTTAAACCCTTAGGCCCTTAAGCTTCAGCCCTTAAACCCCTAAACCCCTAAAAGCCCTTAAACCCTGCAGCTTCCTGAAGCCCTTAAAACCCTTAAGGCCCTTAAACTTCCACAAGCTTTTCCTAAACCGCATCTCCCCTAAACCCTTAAACCCTTACACCCCTAAACCACTCTCCGTATTGTCTAAGGGTAGTTTCATGGACACTTAATATGGCCCCTAACCTCTTTAAAGGGTTCTGAAGTATGGGCCCTTGGATTCTTCTAGGGGAAAGAAGGGGAATATGCGGGGTCCCCTTGTAAGGGCCCAGACTAACCCTCAGGGCCCAGGACCCCATTATTTAAGGTCTTTCATCTGTTTTGGTGCCCAAAGGCCGTATTATTTGTGGTCTTGGGTAAACCCTAAACCCTAAACCCTAAACCCTAAACCCTAAGCCCTAAACCCTAAACCCTAAACCCTAAACCCTAAACCCCAAACCCTAAACCCTAAACACCATGTAACTACCCTAAGATATCTGCTCAATAAGGCATCCTGGCCACAGCCTTCCTGGTGAAGGTGCCGACGCCCCTGGCGCAGCTAAGGGGACCTTCGTTTGCACGGAGGATGGTTTAGGGTTTAGGGTTTAGGGTTTAGGGTTTGGGGTTTGGGGTTTAGGGTTTAGGGCTTAGGGCTTAGGGCTTAGGGCTTAGGGTTTAGGGGAATCTCAGGATGTCGACTTGCTTTTGCTTGCTTTTACTTGCCTTGCTTTGCTTTGTCGTCTTTGTTTTCTACGCGCTGTTATGTTGCAGATAAGGGTTTAGGATTAGGGTTTAGGATTTAGGGTTTAGGGTGTAGGGTTTAGGGTTTAGGGCTAGGGTTTAGGGCCCACGGAGGCCCCCTGAGAGCGCGCAAAGAAGCCCAGGCTACCTCCTGATGCTGGCATTCGACAGCCTCTACCACCGCAGGGCCTGGATCATGCTGCTCCTGAACGTGCTGCAGTTCCTCTTCGCGCTCCTCTGCATCCTGCAGGTTCTAGCCCTAAACCCTAAACCCTGAGCCCTAAACCCTAAACCCTAAACCCTAAACCCTAAACCCTAAACCCTAAACCCTAAACCCTAAACCCTAAACCCTAAACCCTAAACCCTAAACCCTAAACCCTAAACGGAGGGCCAATTTTTTTGGTACTTTTTGTTTTTTTTGTTTTTTTTCGTGGTCCTCTGGGCCCCTGGTCTCCTGGTCCCCTGGTCCCCTGGTCCCCTGGTCTGCTGGTCTCCCGGTCTGCTGGTCGCCTGGTTCCCCCGTTTTTTGAAGCCGTGCAAGTTTTTTCAAAGCAGATGAACGATGAAACGATGAAAACTCATCAGGCCACGTTTTTCAAAGCATATGAACGATTGAAAGCCATCATGCGAGCATTGTGTTCCCCCCCCCCCCCCCCCCAGCCCCACAGCTTCTTTAAGCCGTGCAAGCTTCTTTCAAAGCATATGACAGATTGAAACCCATCATGCCTTTTTTTCAAAGTATGTGAACGACTGAAGCTTGTGTTTG